AGCCATTATGTAGAAGGCATGTCGCAGTGCGGTATACTCGATCAAATACGGGCAGCCATTATGTAGAAGGCATGTCGCAGTGCGGTATATTTGATCATATACGGGCAGCCATTATGTAGAAGGCATGTCACAGTGCGGTATACTTGATCATATACGGGCAGCCATTATGTAGAAGGCATGTCGCAATGCGGTATCCTTGATCATATACCGGCAGCCATTATGTAGAAGGCATGTCACAGTGCGGTATACTTGATCATATACGGGCAGCCATTATGTAGAAGGCATGTCACAGTGCGGTATACTTGATCATATACGGGCAGCCATTATGTAGAGGGCATGTCGCAGTGCGGTATACTTGATCATATACGGGCAGCCATTATGTAGAAGGCATGTCGCAGTGCGGTATACTTGATCATATACGGGCAGCCATTATGTAGAAGGCATGTCGCAGTGCGGTATACTTGATCATATACGGGCAGCCATTATGTAGAAGGCATGTCGCAGTGCGGTATTCTTGATCATATACGGGCAGCCATTTTGTAGAAGGCATGTCGCAGTGCGGTATACTTGATCATATACGGGCAGCCATTATGTAGAAGGCATGTCGCAGTGCGGTATACTTGATCATATACGGGCAGCCATTATGTAGAAGGCATGTCGCAGTGCGGTGTTAAAATAACCAAACATCAAAACATATTGCCTGACACAAAAGGGTTCGTGAGTACAAGTCGTTTGTTTGTTTTATTTCAGTCACACCCTTGGTTGTGAGAAGCGGGGATTATCTTGTCAACACACATCATATCAGGATTAATGTCGATAAGTTGGGTAATATTTTAATTGTCTGAGCGAAAGCCACCTGGGTTAAGGGTTTATCATCAGCATTGATAAACTAATACCATTATTCCATGTTGTAAATCAATTTGTTTTGTTTGTTTGTTGTTTAACGCCGCACTCAGCAATATGCCAGCTATATGACGGCGGTTTGTAAATAATTGAGCCTTGACCAGACAATCCAGTGATTGACATCATGAACATCAATCTACGCAATTTGGATACGATGACATGCATCAACAGGGTCAGCGAATCTGACCACCGGATCCCGTTAGTCGCCCCTCACGACAGACATGGGCTGCTGAAGACCAATTCTAACCCGGATCTTCACGGGCCTTGTAAATCAATATACAAAGGGGATATAGGTAGCCTACTATTACTATTAATTCGTTTTTCACCCCGAAACTATATTATAATATATTGATGTATGGATGTTGTTTATCACGTGAAGATCCGGGGTAGAGTAGGTCTTCAGCAACCCATGCTTGTCCACCGTGAAGATCCGGGACAGAATAGGTCTTCAGCAACCCATGCTTGTCCCCCGAGAATATCCGGGGTAGAATAGGTCTTCAGCAACCTTTGCTTGCCGTAAAAGGCGACTATGCTTGTCGTAAGAGGCGACTCACGGGATCGGGTGGTCAGGCTCGCTGACTTGGTTGATGCATGTCATCGATCCCAATTGCGTGGATCGATGCTCATGATATTAATCACTGGATTGTCTGGTCCAGACTCGATTATTTACAGACCGCCGTCATATAGCTGGAATATTGTTGAGTTTTTTTTAATTATAACTTTGAAGTAAATATTCAATATGCACGAATATTCCAGCAACGTGACGGCGATCTGTATATTGTCGAGTCTGGACCATGTGCAGTTAATTTCATATGAGCTGCACCCCACATTTGCGTCAGGTGAGGAATTATCTCGTCATGTAGGATTAAATTATGATATCTAAATCACATTAACGTATTAATGACTTAATGAACAGTATTGATATGTTGAACAGCTTTCAAACTATAGCCAAACCCAACATATCATCCCACATGCACATTAATGTGCATTAATCAACAGGCTTCCATGTACGCGACATATGCAGTGAGTCAACATGTGTACCTTCTGACCTTGGGTGTGGATTCCCTGTCAGAATAAATCACCAGTGTAACGTGGTTAGTATGAGAGCCGACAAAAATTAGGGTCTTGGTATCACGTGTGATAGTGTGTCGTGGTACATGTACCCGTCCTCGGACACAGTGGGATTCTGGGTTAGAATCAGTTCCTTAATGGACTAAAGTCAGGTGGTCAGGTGGTCAGGTTTGGTGGTATCATTCACTGGATAGTGTGGTCCTGACTCGATTATTTACAGGTTGCCGTCATATGTCTAGAATATTGGTGCAATGTGAATAAACAATATAAAAAATAAACACACTCTATCTCTAATGACCTACACATGAAGGTGTGTTGCCTTATCCATAGCAACCTACACATGCAGGCATGTGGCCTGATTTATAGCAACCTACACATGCAGGCATGTGGCCTGATTTATAGCAACATACACATGCATATGTGTGGTCTAATCGATAGCATCCTACACATGCAGGTGTGTAACCTAATCTATAGCAATCTACACATGCAGGTGTGTAGCCGAATCTATAGCAAACTACACATGCAGGTGTGTGGCTTTATCCATAGCAACCTACACATGCAGGTGTGCAGCCTAATCTATAGCAACGTACACATGCAGGTGTGTAGCCTAATCTATAGCAACATACACATGTAGGCATGTGGCCTAATCTATAGCAACCTACACAATGCCATGCAGGTGTGTAGCCTGATCTTTTAGCAACCTACACATGCAGGTGTGTAGCCTAATCTATAGCAACCTACACATGCCGGTGTGTGGCCTAATATATAGCAACCGGCACCTGCAGGTGTGTGGCTAAATCTCTAGCAACCTTCACGCGCAGGTGTGCAGCCTAATCAAAAGCAACCTACACGCAGGTGAGCAGTCTAATCTATAGCTAGCTACACATGCAGGTGTGCAGCCTAATCTATAGCAACGTATACATGCAAGTGGCATCCTGGCCAAGCATCCTGGCCAAGTCGACCTCATGTGATTCAATGCATGCCGTCTTTTGGGAGTCCCGAGTCAAGACGACCTTAGGTGATGCAATGCATGCCGTCTTTTGGGAGTCCCGAGTCAAGACGACCTTAGGTGATGCAATGCATGCTATCTTAAAAGCATCCCGGGCCAAGTCGACATTAGGTGATGCAATGCATGCTTTCTTGAAGGCATCCGGGACCAATTCGACATTAGGTGATGCAATGCATGCCGCCTTAAAAGAGACCCGCGCCAAGTCGGCCTCAGATGATTCGATGCTGTCTATGAATTAGGAGATAAACATACTGTGTTTTCAATGTAGAGCTAGGTTACCTGTAGATTTAACCCCGCTAAATTGAATTTTGAACCGAACGCGAACCGATGGTTTCACTGCTATCACACCAGAGACTCTGTAGTCATATACGAGCATCTTTGCTACTACATGTCGTGTTTCATTTGAGAGGTCTAATCCTACTGTTTATAAATATGAAAGTTTTGTTTATCACATTACTAAAATAATGCATTTTTTACTTAATTAAGTTAGTTTTTAATAACAATATAAGCTAACACATTCATAACGTCCAGATTAGGCACATGGAAGCGAAATTCTGGCGATTTTCGGGGATATCTAGATTTTATAATGGAGCTATCAACTAACTTATTTAATCGGAAAATGATGATAAAAACATTTTAAGTACGATCTACCTCCGTTTTAGAAGCTTTGTATAAATAACACGTGCGAAGATTCGTTCGATGTTTCTTATCTTTAGAAAGCTCTGAATATCAATGATATTACAGGGACCTCGCCAGGAGTATACTGCTTACTTGGAGTATATTGGACAGAAAATACTCTTATGGCGCTTTTGTCGTAATCTAATACAAGGATCGGGATTGGTCAAATTCAAGCACATGACCTAAGGCAGCCAGTCAAATTACAGCTGTGGATACCGTCCTCGTGTATGATACATTTCAGATTTAGACGAAAGTCTTTGGTCAGATTCTGTCATTTTAAAGATGGAATCGCCACCTGTGTTTAACATATGGGACTTCGTGGACATATCGTGCCAGGTTACGACCCGTGACAAAGATTTCTCATGCATATGTTTTGGCATTAAACAACGTGTCCGGGCCTAAAACTCGAGGCGGCAAATGCCGAGATGTCATTTGAAAAACATTACACAATCGGATGAAAAGATGGAAATAGTAAACTGATGTAAGTTTCAAAATAATGAGAAATGTTTTGTTAAATTTAATTATTACTTTATTTAATGTATTACTTAAACTACTACTTAAAACTATATATTGCTCTTTGACGTGTTCGATGTGGACCCATTGTCCCAGATTATTTTTCTTTCACTAACATTGCGGTAAAGTGTTCATAATGAAAACTGTTTCGATCAAATAAAATAAATTGAAATGAAATATGTAATTTCTGACTTTGTGAAAAGTGACAGATTTGACAAACGAATGATATGACTGGCAGGTTCTTGAAACTATGTATGATTCTGACGTGGCTACAGTGTGGCCGGTTCACCGGTCTGACGTGTTGAAAGAGTTAACGAGCGGAGTACTTTGAAGCTGGTCCTTGCTGTACCAGGCAGTCTCAGTGTTATGATCCAATTACCATGTTTACAGCTTAAAATAAACTGCAATCCGTAAAGACCATCTCAAATTTAAAACAGTCAGCCCGAGAACAAATCTGTCGGCCTCGGGCCTACAGACCGTCGTCTGTTTCGAACACTGGATCATAGGATTGTTCGGACAATTAAAAAATCATGATTATAAGAACTGTATGGTTTTACAGCTTCAATATTGTAAATGTGTGTACAACAAACCAACACTGTGTCCATTCCGGATCAGGACAGGTCACCAGCTATGCTAGTCGTAAGAGAAGACTGCGAGCATTGGGGTGTGACCTCGGTGATTCACGTACCTTTTTACCCCGACGGCGTTGACGTTGCTCTAGATTCAGTCACGGGACTCGATGGTTTACAGACCATCGTCATACAGCTGAATGCATATACAACATCCTGCTGAATAGTTTTTGACAGCAAAACACGAACTTCGATAGTAAGATAGAGCCTTTATTAACTTCTAGTATGCAAACATAGACTCTAAGTAACCATATATTTAACCTTAAAAATCCACCACAACAACAGCGCAGTACAGGAAGGTTTATTAGAAATAAAATGCCGGGCAAAAAAATATACACCAATGTTTGATAGCGGCTAAAAATGAATCCACCAAGAAATGATTATTCGATAGTGATGTATCTGATTCTGAAATCAAAGTTGTGTTTTGAACCTTACGTCCGCGGTGTTTCAGCGTATGTTTTCAGCCTTGTAACGTTTTGATAACGTTTTTTTATTTCTTGGTCGGATACAATATTCAAGTGCATAATTGTTTGGGGAAAAGAAAATCATTTTTAAATATAATAAAAGATTAAAATTTTCAAAGTTTTTATCGGTGAAATATTTTTATCTGTGCGTCGTGACTTCTGGATCTATTAACAGTTAAATCAACACAAGCATTGACTTTAAGAGTTTGAATAAAGAAATATCGGAAACGCATCAGCGGACTTAACGTCAGAATGTTGCTTCGGTAAAGTTGCGTCTAGCCATCTGGAACAGATAAGAATGGATGTGTCCCGTTAATACAGTTAAGACCCGTGAATCCGGACGGTATTGTTGACATACAATCGTCCAGATAATCAAATATCGGGATTAACGAATGAGATTGCTTCAGTTCTGCCTTGTAGTTGCAAAATGGATGAAAAAAATAGTCCCGGTGTGACAGAGGTAACGGTTATCAAATCAAAACTAATAAAACAAGGTCAACCTTGTACGACACACGTGTGACGTACGGATTTAGTATCTTACCACCTGTATCTTCACCACGTGGGTCATCGTCAGCGGATATGCATAGAACGCACGTGCTCAAAGGAGTCAGTCAGTTGTGTTTAACGCCGCTTTTAACAGTATTCCAGTTATATCACGGCGTGTCAGCTTAATGTGGGAGGAAAACCCCAAGTGATGCAGGTCTCAGACGTTTACCACTTCGGTGAAACCCACGAGCACGGGTATGGTGCTGACAAACCTAGAAACATAATCGGGGTGAACCACTTCGGTGAAACCCACGAGCACGGGTATGGTGCTGACAAACCTAGAAACATAATCGGGGTGAACCGGGATTCGAACCCACAATCATAGGTTTCTGGCGTGCCGAAGGGACGCAACTGTGCACAGCGAATCGCGGCGCCTTAGACGACTGGGCCATCCGTGTCCCTGTGTTCAAAGGAACTCTAATACATAGAGGTTAGGAACCTTGTACTTAATACACCAGGAGTCCGGATTAGACTATGCTGGTTGCAAGGGGCGACTTAATGGATCGTCGTCGGATCGGGTGATATGGTTGATTGTGTGTTATGGCGCCCCAACGGCGTGGATCGTTGCTCATACTATCAATCACTAGATTGCCTGGTCCAGACTCGATTTACAGATCGCCGTCATATGAGTGGAATATTGCTGAGTGGCGCGTTAAACAACATACAAAAGATTTTAGAATATAAACAGAATTACTTACAATATCTGTAACGACGGCAGTGAGAGTTTGTGAAGCATCTTTTGTAAAATCGCTGCAGACTTCCTCCCGAACAATGTCCACGCGGGCAACTGCGTCTCCGCAAATATATCTGTCTGCAGTTAGACATGCATAATCCTCCGTTTGACCAGCTGCTCCATCCAGACCACCCCGAACCTGAAGACGGACTCGAGCCGGATCCCGTCCATCTAGTCCATGAGGAATGATGTCTGCCAAACCTCCCATGCCATCCCCTACCCGTCCATCTGTTGTATTTCGACCACCCAGAAGCTGCAAATCGACAAATACAAATGCCAGGGGACAGCATTAAGTGTATGAGTGAATGAGTATGGTTTGGTTTTATGACTCTTTTAGCAATATTCTAGCAATAACACGGCGGGGAACACCAGTAATGGGCTTCACACATTGTACCCATGGGGTAATCGAACCCAGGCGTGTCGAGTGAACACTTTAACCACTAGGCTACCCCACCGCCCCTTTTAAATTTAAGAGACATGAGTGGCTGAAATAGCCTAAAAAGTGTGTGAGAGACACAATACTGGTGGCTCGGTGACTTGGTTGGATGTGTGTCATCGTACCCTGGGGATGATAGATATATTGCTTAACGTCGCACTCAGCAATATTACAGCTATATGACGATAGTCTGTAAAATATCGAGTGTGGACCAGGCAATTCAGTGATTGATATCTTTTGGTGAGTGAGTAAGTGAGTTGGGTTTAACGCCGCTTTTAACAGTATTCCAGTTATATCACGGCGTGTCAGCTTCATGTGGAAGGAAAGCCCGAAGTGATGCAGGTCTCAGACGTTTACCACTTCGTTGAAACCCACGAGCACGGGCATGGTGCTGACAAACAAAGAAACATAATCGGGGTTAACCGGGATTCGAACCCACAATCATAGGTTTCTGGCGTTCCCAAGGGACGCAACTTTGCACAGTGAATAGAGGCGCCTTAGACGACTGGGCCACCCGTGCCCCCGATATCATTTGGGATACGCTGACATGCATCAACCAAGTCAGCGAGCCTGACAATCCGATCCCGTCAGTCGCCTCTTGCGACAAGCATGAGTTCCTGGATTCCTATAATCTGTGACCGCCGGGTATCGAACCCCGGACCTTCCCGCTCTCCGGGCGGACGCTCTACCACTAGACCACGGAGGCTAGTATAACGCGACGTTAAACTCAATTTCACCTCACCTCACCTCTGGTAACAGAATATAGGAGGTGAGGTGAGGTGAGGTGAGGTGAAATTGAGTTTAACGTCGCGTCCAAGATTATTGCACTTATATAGCGACGTGCATGCACGTGTGTGTGTTCGTGTGGCTGCTTGTACTAGTCCGGACTGATGCCGATTTATAGTGCTAGCTCACTGAGATACCATGCCGCAGTTTAACATGAATACCCCACTCAGACACAGTATACTAGCCTCCGTGGTCTAGTGGTAGAGCGTCCGCCCGGAGAGCGGGAAGGTCCGCGGTTCGATACCCGGCCGCGTCATACCAAAAGACGTTAAAAGATGGTACTTGTTGTTACCCTGTCTGGCGCTCGGCATTAAGGGGCTTAAACAAGGACTGGTCGGCTCGGAGTCAGTATACTGTGTCTGAGTGGGGTATTCATGTTAAACTGCGGCATGGTATCTCAGTGAGCTAGCACTATAAATCGGCATCAGTCCGGACTAGTACAAGCAGCCACACGAACACACACACGTGCATGCACGTCGCTATATAAGTGCAATAATCTTGGACGCGACGTTAAACCCCATTTCACCTCACCTCACCTCACCTCACCTCCTATATTCTGTTACCAGAGGTGAGGTGAGGTGAAATTGAGTTTAACGTCGCGTCCAAGATTATTGCACTTATATAGCGACGTGCATGCACGTGTATGTGTGTGTGTGGCTGCTTGTACTAGTCCGGACTGATGCCGATTTATAGTGCTAGCTCACTGAGATACCATGCCGCAGTTTAACTTCTGTTACCAGAAATCCCCCCGGGCTTTTGTCTCCGATAAACGAACTTACTGGAACATGGAGCCATGGTGCAATTCACTTTTCTCATCTCGTATTTGACAAAATTGGCTGGGCAGTTGGCATAACAGTAGCGTGACCGGACCTGCGTCTTAACACCATTTCCACAATGGACAGAGCAGCCACCATACGTCGTCCAGCTGCACCACTGGCTGGTTTCTGCAAGGATTTCATTTTAGGAATCGACCATTTGATATAAGGGGTGGGGCCTGGGATTGAATCGAATAAAAAATATTTTCCCTTAAAATTCTTGAAAATATGATCATGTTTCAGACTGTTGAAAAGCAGTTAAATTGCCTGCCACAAAAAATTATAATTGTAGAAATATGTGTTTAAAGTTTGAAATAAGAATCTGGTTCTGTAGCCGTAGCTTGAACCCTATCTATTGAACAGGTTAAAATGCATCGCAAAAACATAAGAAAATGGTAACAAAATCGTAACAAATCAAACCGTTGATAGCTGCAATGATGTAGTTGGATATAAAGTCTATGACAGAGAACCATCAGCTAGAAAGGAATTAATAGAGAAAGAACGTTTCACATTTATCATCAGAATGTCTCAGGACATTTCATATTTTTCATCGGATTGGTTCGTTGATTAGTTAATGAATCAGCAGAGAGGTAAGATACTTTTCATTTGTAGGATCCGGAGTGAGTCACAAAATCAATAGAGATATGCCCAATCTGCCACGTTGGCTTCGGTATTTTTCCGTTTACGACACACATGAGATCATGGTCAAATCTAACTTTTAACGAATCAAGTTGAGGTATTATTACATGTGACAAGGAAAGGTCAGACTTGAACACCAATTAAAGATACGTTCAGCATTAGCTGGGGTGCGCGTTTTTGGCAGTGACAGAGGCAGATCGAGACCACTCCGTTTGTCCAGTCTATGGTGAGTCTAGCCTGTTTTGTTTAGAAGTTGTATTGTGAAAATGGACTGGGGAGTTATTAAACATATGTTGGTATAACCTATGAGTTGTGATTATTCCTGGTGAGTGCAAGGGTCGCTACGTGAATGCTGATAGAGACAGTTCGGATTAAGAGTCGATAAACCAATCACTCCTTGACTAAGATGACCCGATTATGACCAAGCAAGTTGCTAAGTCATGGCTTACCTTGACTATGGAACGACAATGAAATTGGTAAAATACCTAAAATCCGCTATTTCCGAACATATCCTCAATAACCGAGGCAATAACATCATGTGGGAAGTCACCTAAGTCATTTCTACCAACAACAACTGGCGACAAAGAAAACTACAATAAGCCATTGACATCAAGGTGCTCCAGCCAGCCATGAACCGTGACCAGGGAACCGATCTGCCCTGTGGTTGGGACTTTTTGCTTTAAATATTGTCTGTGCTCTCATTTGTCCATTGCCATTTCCATTCTATTATCTACCAGTACTAATTATCCTGGCCTCCAGTTTGTCCATTGTCCATTACCTATTACCAATCAGTCCACTGTCCATTAACTTTACTAATCAGAGATAATTTAAGTCCTGGCTCCCATTTGTCTATTGCTATCACCTATCAGCACCAATTAACTGTTGGCTTGCCTTGTTAAGTTTATATGTTCTGTGCTTCTTTATATTCACCTGATAAAGGAGTAAGTATATACCCGGAAACTAACAAGTTCTGCGTGGGACTTTTGGTCATGTTCTTTTCTGGACAGAAGTCTAAACGTGAGCTGGGTGAGATCTTTCCCTGGATCTTGAACAAGTATCACCTCTTATTAAAATAACAAACACTGATGGCAATGAAGATATTTTATGGATGTCAACTTCTTTATTATGAGGATGAATGGATGAGTATGGTTTTACGCCGCTTTTAGCAATATTCCAGCAATATTACGGCGGGGGACACCAGAAGTGGGCTCCACACACTGTACCCATGTCGGGAATCGAACCCGGGTCTTTGGCGTGACGAGCGAACGTTTTAACCACTAGGCTACCGACCGCCCCTTATTATGAGGAACACAATTATTCACCTGATGAAGTAGTAAGCATATACTTCGAAACGTTATAAAGAAGCTGACATCCATGAATTCTCTTCCTTTTGTGTATCACTTCTTACTGCCTTTCAAAGATTTCATTCATGGGAAGGTCCAAAGGACCAATCAATCGAACACAATTTTGCCAACTGTCTTGCTAACATGTCGCAACCCTGAGATTGTTTTGTTTCCTGAGTATGTATTTGTGTTCCTTTTTGTTACGTTTGATCTGTTGATACCGAACTAAACATTGAAAAACACCAAAAGGATGTTAACCAATTATATTCGGTCGGTTGGGATGATCCCATCATCAATCATCAATCCATTCCCAGCACAAGTCGTGACAGATGAACATCAGTATAGATTGGACGCAGTTTTGGTACATGCTATGTAATAAAGTGTCTATGTAATCTCCTTAAGAAAATTAGTTATGATCACAAAATATTTTTACCCTCCGTATTCTTAAGAAAGGTTAGTATGTTTTGAAGCAGTGACAGAAAATAATGTTCTGACTTTTACCAATCTTCAAGTAACAAGTTGAAAATACTTACATACTTCAAGTTAATGCTAGATCTAGAATTATGAGGTATATCAGCCAATGATTTATTTGTTTGTTTGTTATTTACTAAGGCGTCACGTGAAAACTCCGGATTAGAATTGTCATACGCACACGCACGCGCACGCACACACACACACACACACACACACACACACACTTACTGGGACATAGACCATTGTTGCAGTCGACAGTTCTCGTCTCCGTTCCCATAAAATTGGCCGGACAATTAGCGGAACAGGTCCGGTTACGAACTTGCGACTGAATCCCAAGCCCACATGTCACTGAGCAAGAACCATCATCAGCCCATGCGGTCCATTCGGTGATAACTGAAAAGGAGATCAAGACCTAGTCACACTACCATGAAGAATTTGAAAATGGAAAAGTACAGAGAGTCATACAGATAGTACTGGAATACGTCCTGAGATGCTGACAAGAGTTCTGACGATTCTTTCTCGGTTGGGATGATGCCACCATCAATCATTAATCGGTTCCCAACACAAGTCGCGACAGATGGACATCAGTATGGATAAGACGCAGTTCTTGTACATGCTATGTAATAAAATAACTTTTGATCCCAAAACGTTTCTACCCTCCTTTTTCGAAAGAAAGGTTGGTATGTTTTTGAAGCAGTGTCAGATAATGATATTCTGACTTTTACCAATCTCCAAAGTAATAAGTTGAAAATACTGACATACTTCAAGTTTATGATAGATCTAGAATCATGAGGTATATCAGCCAATGATTTGTTTGTTTGTTTGTTTGTTACCAACACCTCCCTTGGGGATTCCGGATTAGAACTGCCACACACCCCTCCTACCCTACCCCCACCACATCCCTCCGCAAACCTTTTCTTTTCGTAAGAGGCAATTTAACGTCTCGTGTGGTCAAGCTCCGCGACGTGGTAGACTGCGTGTCCATGTAACCCGACGGTGTGGATCGTTGTTCACAATATCAATCACTAGATTGTCTGGTCCAGATTCGTTTATTTACAGGCCGCCATTATATACATGGAATATTATTGAGTGCGACGTTAAACGACAAGCAAATGTGAACGCACGCACGCGCACCACACACACACGCACACATTACACACATACATACAAGCACGTACACACACACAACATACCACATACACACACGCACGCACGCACGCATACATCACAGACACGCATCACGCACCTATCGCACGCATGCACGCACGCACGCACGCACGCACGCACACATACACTTACCAGGACATGGACCATTGTTGCAGTCGACAGTTCTCGTTTCCATTCCCATAAAATTGGCCGGGCAATTAGCGGAACAGGTCCGGTTACGAACTTGCGACTGAATCCCAGGCCCACATGTCACTGAGCAAGAACCATCATCAGCCCATGCGGTCCATTCGGTGATAACTGCAAAGGAGATCAAGACCTAGTCACACTACCATGAAGAATTTGAAAATGGAAAAGTACGGAGTCACAAAGATAGTACTGGAATACGTCCTGAGATGCTGACAAGAGTTCTGACGATTCTTTCTCGGTTGGGATGATGCCACCATCAATCATTAATCGGTTCCCAACACAAGTCGCGACAGATGGACATCAGTATGGATAAGACGCAGTTCTTGTACATGCTATGTAATAAAATAACTTTTGATCCCAAAACGTTTCTACCCTCCTTTTTCGAAAGAAAGGTTGGTATGTTTTTGAAGCAGTGTCAGATAGTGATATTCTGACTTTTACCAATCTCCAAAGTAATAAGTTGAAAATGCTGACATACTTCAAGTTTATGATAGATCTAGAATCATGAGGTATATCAGCCAATGATTTGTTTGTTTGTTTGTTTGTTACCAACACCTCCCTTGGGGATTCCGGATTAGAACTGCCACACACCCCTCCTACCCTACCCCCACCACATCCCTCCGCAAACCTTTTCTTTTCGTAAGAGGCAATTTAACGTCTCGTGTGGTCAAGCTCCGCGACGTGGTTGACTGCGTGTCCATGTAACCCGACGGTGTGGATCGTTGTTCACAATATCAATCACTAGATTGTCTGGTCCAGATTCGTTTATTTACAGGCCGCCATTATATACATGGAATATTATTGAGTGCGACGTTAAACGACAAGCAAATGTGAACGCACGCGCACGCACCACACACACACGCACACATTACACACATACATACAAGCACGTACACACACACACAACATACCACATACACACACGCACGCACGCACGCATACATCACAGACACGCATCACGCACCTATCGCACGCATGCACGCACGCACGCACGCACGCACGCACACATACACTTACCAGGACATGGACCATTGTTGCAGTCGACAGTTCTCGTCTCCGTTCCCATAAAATTGGCCGGACAATTAGCGGAACAGGTCCGGTTACGAACTTGCGACTGAATCCCAAGCCCACATGTCACTGAGCAAGAACCATCATCAGCCCATGCGGTCCATTCGGTGATAACTGAAAAGGAGATCAAGACCTAGTCACACTACCATGAAGAATTTGAAAATGGAAAAGTACAGAGAGTCATAAAGATAGTACTGGAATACGTCCTGAGATGCTGACAAGAGTTCTGACGATTCTTTCTTCTTTTTTCCTTTGTGGTATAACGCCGCACTATTAGCAATATTCCAGCTATATGACGACGGTTTGTAAATACTCAAATTTGTACCAGTGATTGATATCATGAGCATCGATCCTCGAATTTTGGTAAGATAACATGCATCATCCAAATCAGCGAGCCTGACCACCAGATCTTGTTAGTCACCTCTCATGACATACATAGTCGCCTTTTACAACAATGGGTTGATGAAGACCTATCCGTCACGGGTGAGTTCTGACGATTGATTGGGAGGGTTAATGTGAGTCCGTATCCCAGTACTGCAATATCCCCAGCCTGTCATTATGGTTGTTGTGGGAGGAATTTCATATGTCTTAAATATAAATAAACACGCTCCCACACATGGAAACATCTACAGACCTTATTCGTTATTTCACTTTTGATCATGACTCACTGGCTAAATATTATTTTGGTCTCTTGAAAACGTTTTGTTTTCATATCAAACTGTGTAATAAAACTGTTTCAGATATACGAGTGAAAATTGGCATTTCTGATTGAATCTTGCAATTCTACAATAGAAGACATAGGATAGGAGAAATAGGTCAATAGATGTCGTTGATGATTTAGAATATTATGTAACACTGCTAAATTTCCTTTAGTCCAGTCATAACAGGAAAACCCTGTTTTATCCCGACATAGGCCTATTCATATAGTATGTTTTGCATATACATGTTTCTACACCAAGGCATTTCATAGGGTCACGTGGTTTTCTAAACATACGGGTCGGTTTTAGATGCGAACGCGGAACTCATTTGTATAATAACGTCAACACCGTCGATTACTGTATATTTTGTACTTTTCTCAGTATCTTTAAAAAAACACGTTTCCAAGCCCTTTTTAAAAAAAAAAAATTTCCGAGAAAATACTATCTACTTAGGGCATTGTGTGAGAGCTATGTTGATACTGTGTGACATTTCACTGTCTATATATACTCCCGCTTTAACATACATCGTTCTTTAACTAAACAAATGCAAGTGCATATCGCTAATATACGTAAACATACATAATAACCTAAGAGTGAGTGAGTGAGATCAATTTAGTTCAAGTCACGTCGGCAATATTTCAGCCATAATGTGACATGAGCAAGTTATGAAATATTAATAATCTAAGGAAATCAGCTTCTTCCGAAAACCGGAAAAGGGTTTTCTGTTGAATGAATGAATGATGTTTATTCTCGTAAATCACGACAGTGATGCAGAGATGTAATTTGATACAGGAATTAGATACAATAGGAGAAAACATGTCAGTGGAACATTTCCATACATGATCTTATATAACTTGCCAGTTTTAAAAGAATTGGCTTATAAGTAATGGACATCAAATGAGATAATTTTACGGCAGAAGGATACATACAGTAGTATTGAGGCAAAAACTTGTTTCTAATTTCTGAGAGTTTTGGACATTCTAATAAAAAGTGCATTTCATCACATATCAAATTTTTACACAATGTACATTTTCTTTCCTCTCTCACAATATTATACCATCTTCCTGTTTCAATGGGTAATCTATGGTTTGCTGTTCTAAAACGAGCAGGAGAGATGCGTAAGGTGATTGTTAGTTCTAGTAAATAAGGTTCTAGGGATGGTAACTCTTTAAACATGTTATAATAGTAACCTTTAGATGAATTTTCCTTTGATTCTCGCCATCTTTGCCGAAAATTTTCAATGAGAACATGTTTCACATTTTGTTTCAACCATGCGGCACTAATAAAGGTTTGGAACAACCAAATGTAATTAAAGCCTATATTTTGAAGAATGCATTTTACTTCTTTTAATAGTGGGAAATGGTAATCTGGATTTGCAATGGACATTTGAAACATAAGTTTATATACTATACTAGAAAGGCTAGTTTGTGATGATGTTGGGGTAGTATAAACCACCAAATAAGGTGTTTGGAATGAGATGATGAAGTGTTACCCCTCCTTGGGTAAATTTAATGCCGTTGTCGAGATAAACGGGTTATTTCCGACCAGATTGAACTATTTTCCCAGTTGGGAATTACATGTCTTAATTGATATGTCGAGACTCTACACGAGTGCCTAGGTACATGACGTTCCATTCATTTGTATATAACTTTAATTTGGACTACATACCTGGACATGGCCCTTCGTTACAGTCGATATTTCTCGCCTCCATTCCCATAAAATTGCCCGGGCAAATACCGGAACAGGTCCGGTTACGAACTTGCGACTGAATCCCAGGCCCACATGTCGCTGAGCAAGAACCATCATCAGCCCATGTGGTCCATTCGGTGATAACTGCAAAGGAGATTAAAACCTAGTCACACTACCATGTAGAATTTGAAAATGGAAAAGTACAGAGAGTCATGCTGAAACTAGTTTTGATCCCAAAAGATGGGAAATAGAAGAGATAAAATTTTAACAATTCCGCTTCTCCAACACCAAAGAAATTCAAGTCTTCAAGATCAGTGAAGAAAGTTATGGCCACTTTATTCTGGGATGAAAAGGGTGTGATCCTTGATGTTTACTTAGAATGACAAAAGACGATTACCAGTGCCTACTATGATCGCCTGAGAGATCCTTTCATGCAAGACTGCAGACTGCTGGAGTTCTCCTTTTTCATGACAATGCCTCTTCACACCTTTTGACTTGCAAAGGCTGCTGTGCGACAATGTGGATTCGAAGAGCTTTCTCACTCTCCCTACTTGCCAGACCTGGCACCTTGTGATTTCTACCTATTTCCTAAACTGAAACAACACCTTCGTGGAAAGCACTGTGACGACAACGATGACCTCGAAGCTGCCGTGAAGGGTTTTTCAGGGTAGCTTCAGAAAACTTCTTGTTGAAACATAAAATTAAAACCACTTTCACAATTGTTGCTTTTGTTTGTTAAGCTTAGAACAGTTTGACCAGCCCTCGTACCTAAGTGGGTTCTACGCATGCGCGAAGTTGGCATGCTGGGTTATGCGTTCGCATCCAAGATGGCAACACTTCCGATTGCGGGAGGCGTGTGCATCCAAGATGGCGGCCATTCCGGTTCCGAGAGGGCGGGCGCATCCAAGATGGCGGCGGCGGCGTGTGAGGGGTTCTTTTGGTGTTGGTTGGTTTGTGTGGCCCTGAAAAGGTCCGTTTGGGAAAAAAGCACGGGAACGGGAACGGGATCTGGACCTTCATCCTAGGAAGGGGGGAAGCTTCCTTATTCAGCACTCATTGCGTGATGTGTTTTCAGATGAATAGTTTCTTCTATCATTATAGATCAGGGTTTGCTGACACTTGGAAAATAAGAAGTCATTACGCTCGACTGCTGTTAGTCTCTATAGATGATATACATTGAGAACCATGAGTATTATGAAACCCTTTAGACAATTCTTTATTAAATATTTTCTTCTGTATGTTTGTACAAAACTATGAAATTGTGAATAATTTCTCAGTCCATTAGCAACATCCTCTGTTTTCAATTTCCTGCACTGTAAAAATGTGTTTAGATCCTAAACACAATCCTAAACACTGTCCTTGTCCCATAATTTTGACATGTTTAGTATTGTGTTCAACAGCTAAACGCGTTAAGGTTCTGAAAATATCCTGTATGAGAGAAATACTATTCGTCATACAACATCACATATGAACACAACACTTTTAACAGCTCGGCAGGATACGAACTTGCAACCTCTTGATTTGTAATCTTTCATTCTACAACCTTTGGTTCCGGAGACATTTGTCGCCACAAAGGTCAATTTCCTAGTCACCATTAGCTTGGTTTATTTGTACATGTATATGTAAGTTAATATTGTACCAAGTTCATTGTCAGTCCTGATGATGTATGTGTTGTGCAAGTGCTTAAGATTTGCACATCTAATTTCAATATATATACTCACACGCAAAAGAAACGCAAGTCGAGTATGCAGTATACATGTTATTCTTTTTCAACAGTAAAGACAAGAAGTACTTATAGGGCAAGATTGACAAAAATTTGACTGAAGATTAAAAGGCAGATGACATAAAAAAAAAATCAAAGTTTACACAGTTTCGGGTCAATACCCAAAATGTCAGTCAATACCTGGTGTGACCACCATTAGCATTGATCACTGCCACACATCTCCTGTACATTGAGTGGATCAGACGATTTGTGAAGGCCCTAGGGATCCTCCTGCACACATCCAGAGCAGCTGTGCGTAGTTCATCGGGAGTTGTAGGGACTTGGCGCACATTGTTAAGCTCATCCCACAAGTGTTCGATGGGGTTCAGATCAGGGCTGAGGGCTGGCCACGGTAGAACACGGGAGTTGTGTTGTTGCAGAAAGGCCATGGTAGCTCTTGCAACATGGGGACGAGCGTTGTCCTGCTGGAAAATGTGTTGTTGATGTTGTGCAAAAAATGGAACAACGTGGGGTCTGATCACTTGGTCGATATACCGCTGAGCAGTGACGCCCAGTCCCCGACCTTGACCAACATTCAGAAAGCACATGGGTCCAAGTCTCGCATTAAGTCCAATCCCTGCCCATATCATGACGCTAGGTCCACCCCATGGATCCCTTTCCACAACGTTTCTGTCAGCGAAACGATCACCTCGACGCCGCCAAATTTTGACTCTTCCGTCTGCATGGGAGACACAAAAGCGACTTTCATCAGAGAAGATGACACGCCTCCACTCACGATGACGCCAATTGTGATGACCCTGTGTCCACTGAAGTCGTGCTTGTCGATGCCGTGGTTGGAGAACAGGACGACGTGCTGGTCGGCAACATCTGAGGTTGTTGGTATGGAGACGTCGGATCACAGTGACCCGGCTAATGTGTCGATTAAGTGTTTCTATGGTCTGTCGAGCACTTTCACTTGCAGTTAGGAACGGATGTCGCTGGTGTTGACGGGTAATCTGCCGATCTTGTCGAGGTGTGGTGACCCTAGGACGACCGCTCCGAGGAAGGTCACCTGTGGTCTGTGTAGCATTGTATCGATGCAGGAGACGGTAAATTGTGGTTATGTTAACGTTGAAATGACGGGCAGCATCTTGGACAGACTCTCCAGCTTCCAAACGTCCGATAGCCTGGTTTCTCTGAATTTGAGTAAGGCGTGGCATTGTTGACCAAGGAGTGGTAGGTCCAAGAATCTGACTCAGTGTTATACCAACTACAGTTCGTGACAGTTCGTGCATTTTCGATTTCGCGAGAAATGGGTGCATGATACCCATATATTCATTGAAATGGTGAGTTTTGGCGACTCGTTTTTTATGTTGCGTTTTTAATCGGGGCTTCCAAAATGCAACCAAACATATTGATAACACCATCAGGCGTCACTCCATGCTAAAACTGGTATAAATTTATAACTTTGATAAAAGCCACTAGCATGGGTATGGTGCTGACAAACCTGGAATCCCCATTAGGGCAAACCGAATCGAGTCGGATAAACCAGTGAATGGCTTCAGGGGCAACGCTCTACACCGTCCGGGAACGATGAGAACAATCAACGAGGTCACCACCCGATGCATTAGTCGCATCTTACAACCAGCACATGTTGCTGGGTACATACTATACCTGACTCCCTCCCCATGGGAGCAAAACATATTAGAAATACTAATAGAAATTGCACTAATAATGATTTATGCTTTCCTAGTCATACAACCAAGATTATTACCTATTCTATTTTTTTTAGTTTAATGAATAATAATAATAATCATAATCATAATCATACGGGCTTGATGATGTACGACACTACGTGGTGGGCCTGGGTAGGTAGGGTGTATTCCCCTGAACTAAACGCATATCACCCAGTTACCCCCCGAAACTGGTTCAAAAGTGCGTAACAGAAACCCAAGACGAAATTCATCTCCGCAGCCCAGTCAGCCTCCCTCCGGTATACAAATCACCCAACACTGGAAATGCGACTTGCCCCAGGGGGAGGCACAGAACCCGTCCAGGATATCTTGGACACAGCAACTTAAGTCCACACTTCTTGAGTGTGCGAAAGCAACAGGATCGCCAGAATACCAGAAGTAAATGGCAAGTTGCTGAAGAAGCATTGGGACAAAGGCATGCCAATGTATGCATACCTGACAGAGAACAAAACATCCGTGACCAGCTCCTGGGACTAAAATTACATGTGTGCCGTGAACCTGGTTGCAAATAAACGTTCGCATTATTCACCCTAAATTACCCGATGCAGTTGTCACTGATGACCCACACATGGGCTCACAAAATGAAATTCCTGATGGTGGCCTCGAAGATTTTGTGTTTTTTCCCGATTCCGACCGCTCTTCCGTCAATGATCGTTCTGATGATCCCTTGTATATTTTGTTCATGTCATTCTATAATCAAATCTGTGATTTACCGATTGAGAAACGGAGGACATTTAAACAATTTCATTTCCACAGAATCAACTTGATAAATTAAATGACATTATTTCTGTCACTATTAATGCGGATTGTTCTTTGCATAGCATTAACTGTTGCGTGTATGCTGCTGCTCGAACATTGGGGAATCTCCTCACAGTCGCCAAAGACAATGGATCACAAAAAGTAAATAAACAAAATAATCAAAAGAAAATCCGGTTCCATGTAAAACCAAATGAAACAAGGAAAGCAATATCCTGGATAGAACTTTGTTTTGCATTTTTTGGTCAAAACGACAAAAGAAACTTTTTAAAAATTAATACCAGACAACAATTCTTGATTCTCTGAAGGCAAAGTTAAAGGTATGGACAGAAAGAAAGGGAAAGTGTGATGAGAAAAATATTTCATTAAACAATATAAACTAATCAAAAACATTTGAAAAACCAGTGGCAATGATGAGAAAAGACCCACCATGAACTCCAGTGAAAGGTTTTGGAAACAGTTGTGGTCTGTACCCTGCAACTGCTACCTCGAGGAACCATGGGCAGAGGAGTACAATACCTCACGAATAGATTTTGAAGTCACTGGAATGCTTTGAACTCCCCGAGCGGCTACTTGTTTTACTCAAGTCTTTGATGAATTGCTGGTCAACTCAACTTGAGATATATTCGCAGGGCAGGTGGTGACTTCGGAACCCATTTCTATTGAAGAGGAATATTTCTGGGCGATTCTGTTACTCCTTTGCTTTTCTGTTTGTCATTAAATCTTTAAGTTTTTGGTTAGCAAAGAGGAAGGTTATCATCCTTGATATCCTCAGCACACATCCCCAACACCTCTTACTCACCTCCTTTATATGGATGACCTTGAACTTATTGCCAAGGGGGATCCAAACTAAAAAAACAGATTCTTCTTATCGAGTCTTTTTCTTATGATATCTGCATGTCTTTTGGACTCGACAAATGCAACATTCATCATCTGAAACGTGGCAAGGTAGAAGAGGGAGGATCAGTCAGTTTACTTGGGGGAGGAATTATTGACCATCTCGTGGAAGGTCAGGCCTATACGTACTTGGGAATGCAGGTTAGGGACAAACTCCTGAATGCCCATATCAAGGACATACTTCGGGCAGAGTACAAATGTAGACTTAAGAAAATCTGGAGTTCAGAGATGAACTGTCGCAATAAGGTTGAAGCCACAAATACTTAGGGTATTGACACCCTCACACGAAGAATAATGTCAGACAATTGATCCCACCACCCTCGTTCTTCCCTCAATCGCATATATTTACCAATTTTACTTGGAGGGCGTGGTTTGATTAACGTGGAGGCTCTTCATGATAGAATTGCATTGTGCACTTTTGCACACATTTATTTGTCTGTTGATCGTTTTGTGAAGCATGTCAAGACTCATGATGAAAACAAGGCATTCCACAGTTTTCTTAAACAAGCCAAGGATGTGGGACAAAATCTCAATGTCAAAGTTGACTTTGTTGATGGTTCTTTACTGCTGGACGGGAAAGAACTTTGTGTCAATTTAGCGAAGTGCCATATCAAAACGACCCAGACTCAATTTTCGGGGAGAGGCTTTCTGAACGACCACTGCCTCAAGATTGTGTGCAGTGTATTCAGAACATCAGCAACCCTGCCTTCGCTTTGATGAAGTTTGATAAATCCAATGAAATCATTTATATTATTGAATTTTCTATCCCTTTTTACACTAATGTGATTGACAAGATTCAGGAAAAACACTCCAAATATGCAGACATTCCAAATATGTCACGCTTGCATCCCAAGTACCAAGTTGTCCGACTCCCCATTGTTCTCGGTGCCTTAGGTTTGGTACCTCCCAATCTGTTGACTGACATTGAGAGAGTACCCGGGTTTGCTACCAGGAATACAGCCCTTCTGACAATCTGGGTAATGCAGAAGGCTTCAGTGTTGGGGAGTCTTCACATTCTTCGAAAAGTTCTGGGTGGGGTTGACTAGGCAGTGCTTCCTGGGAGAAGTCCCATTCGCCGTCTGGGCTGCGTGTAGAGGTGACAAGGGCCTTGAGCTGATGATGAACCAGCCTGACGGTGCCAGGATCACCCAAACCATCTTTGCTGCATTTTCAACTTTAATCTGTAAATAACATACGTCAGTTCAAATCGGAGATAAATGTGTGTGTACTTACCTTCAACCCTTGCCCCAAAGCTCACAACCACCACCACTTGTACTACTACCACCATCCATAAGCAATTATTTTTCAAAACCTATTTTAAGATGTCTTATTTCTGACATATACACTTCTCTGCCTCTTCCTTTGGCCCACGGGGGCACGGGTGGCCCAGTCGTCTAAGGCGCCGCGATTCGCTGTGCAGAGTTGCGTCCCTTGGGCACGCCAGAAACCTATGATTGTGGGTTCGAATCCCGGTTCGCCCCGATTATGTTTCTAGGTTTGTCAGCACCATACCCGTGCTCGTGGGTTTCACCGAAGTGGTAAACGTCTGAGACCTGCATCACTTCGGGCTTTCCTCCCACATTAAGCTGACACGCCGCGATATAACTGGAATACTGTTAAAAAACGGGGTTAAACCAAACTCACTCACTCACTCCTTTGGCCCACGCCTACGCCCATGCCCATGCCCACGCCCACTCACCCGTGCAATCCCCGAGGTTACATGGATTGGTTCGGGTGTCCGTCAGTGGCTGGACGCATAAGTTTGTGAATGGTGACACACATGTCCTGTCTCTTGTGTCGGTCTTGGTGCCTGGATCACACGTGGTAGTGCACGTTCCGTCTACCCACTGAGACCATGGCGAATCTGACAAGTAACAAGATTTCAAATGAGTTTGAAGCATATTTATTCATGATAACATCCTAATTTAAGGATATTAAACATGTGTAACAAAGAAAAGGAAGTTTGGAACCGAAGCTTTTATATATTTTAGTTTTATTTGAAGGAAGAATTAGATGGATAAACGTTTTTGAATGTATTACTTGAGATGAATTTGTTTCATATTTCTGATTATTGTTTGAAACACAGCATATCACTTTAAGCCACTTGAATTTGTAAATCTTGGATTCGAACCCAAGATCTGGTGATGCAGGCACGATTAAGGAACGGGACTGTCCCGAATTGCCCCAGGCGACTAGAGTATCCGTTCTCCCATTATGAGAATGAAGACGGTGCGACTCTTGCTCAAAAGTTGTTTGATCAGGGTTAAGACATTCAGTGACTCACTATAGCTCTAAAAAAGTTTTTGGATAGACAAAATTTGACGCATCAGTGAACAAAATAATGTCCGATGCAATTCCCGTTTTAACGTGTACCACATGTCCCCGTGTTGTTTTTTTCTGTGAACAATTGACTTGCCTCTGCGTGTGTTTGTGACGGTGCGAACGTTGGGGCAGGATACGTTCATTTGTTCGCGTACACCTGGTGGCATCGCCTTTTGATGGTGATTCATAAACATATACACCCGTATGATATAGTGCATCTTCCCGAATCAAGGGAGTTAACTGACTATAAAAGTCCAGTTTCCACCCTTGCCGAACTAGGCTAGTATTATGGAGTTACAATTTGGATGGACTAACGAGTCTATGCATAGTCCAATCAAAATCGCGCAACGAAATCGAAATCCGGTTCGTAAACTGTCGTGCAAATTTCGATCGGTTGCAGGATTTGCAAAGCATGTGCACCGCCAACTCGTTGTCAACAGATATTTTCCAAATCTTTTCATGTTTTTAATCAAGGTGCTCACCTGATTTGATGCATTTCGCGATGTAAGACCAGTTTCATCACAATATAGATCTTGATTGTCGATCAGATCGTCTTGACTGGGAGCCACTGTTTTGTTTGAAGCAAATGCAAGTGATGCGAGTAGTGGGATCTGATTGGTCCACGGGAGAGGCATAGAAGGGACAAAACTCGTAATTGCCACTGTGGCGCTACGATAGAGCCCAGGAATTCCAGCCTAGTTCGGCAAGGGTGGAAACTGGACTTTTAAAGTCAGTTAACTCTCTTGCCTCGAGAAGATGGATATAGTGAAGTCGTGCAGTGGACCTATGTAATTCTTATGCTTATGGGTTGGGTTTTGTTGCTTCTAATAAAATAAAGTTCTGCGCAAACGCAACAAACAGTGATGGAATGGTAAATGTCGTTACGGTATTCCCACTCGCATTTATCATCAGCAAGTGCACTTTCGGTAAAATTAAGTATGCGTAATAGGAGGCAAGTGATTAAGTAAGATATTGGAATACGGGTTTTATTTGCCTTATTTGTTATGGGTTTGAGATATTACATGGGGGGATGGGCCATGGGGATGAGTATCGTTGTTAAGACCAAACTTTTAAAATAAACTTAATTTGTGTCTCACATAATGATCTGCGTACATACGAAGTACATAAATAATAATAAAAATATTTTTTAAAACATTCCTAACTGGCACAAATTATTGCACAAAACATGTTTATTGTATTCGCATAATAGCGGTGAAAAATATATGAATGGGTCACTTACAATCACTGATGAGACAATGTGATTGTGAAAAGGGTTAGCATGTACTGCCCTCACAATTTGCATAACAAGCAAGTGAAACAAGTGTTTGTTTAAAGTTACGACTGTAAAGCATCTGATGATATAGAGTGCGCACCCCCACCCCCCCACCCCCCACCCCCCCCCCACCGTCTACTCTCTCTCTCTCTCTCTCTCTCTCTCTCTCTCTCTCTCTCTCTCTCACTCTCACACACACACACATACACACCACACGCTTTCCCCCCTCCTCTGGAACCACCAGGAGGATACATTGGGGAACCACGGTTTATGAAATGCCAGTTGTCATGGAAACGAGTACTTACAAACATCATCATCTTGGATGCTGATCAGCACGTTGCTGTCGGGACCAACGTTCGCCCCGCTCAGTATAAAGCGGAACTGTTCTGTTGGTTCCATCAGCTGCAAGAGGAATTGATCCACTTTAGCGTATGACAAATCGCAGAGCAAGGACACCCTAAAATTTAGCCCTCTATCTTTAGTGCTCTTTGAATGAGGAAGTGAATTAGTTTAACGCCAGTCAGAAATATGCAAGCTATATCATACGGTCCTTTGCGAATTTCTGCTTATTATGGAAAGGGTGTGTTGCTTCTTATGTTTTAGTAGCAGAAGGTGTGTTTTGTTTGTAGTTTTACCCCGCACTCAGCAATATTCCAGCTATATGACGGCGGTCTGTAAATAAACAAGTCTGGACCAGACAATCCAGGGACTGACCACCCGAACCTGTGATTGTCTTCTTATGTAGCAGGGCGTGGAGTCCTCCCACAGATGACATCCTTACCTTGTCAGCTTGCTGACGGGGTTAACCTCTTTGGTCATGTGGACAAGGCATCCGACCTCTGATCAAAAGATCCGTGGTTCGAATCCCATCACGGGACTCGGAAATGTTTTTGCCGCTATAAAAAAAATTCCGAGTCCCGTGATGGGATTCGAACCACGGACCTTCTGATCAGAGGTCGGACGCCTTGTCCACATGAGCAAAGAGGTTAACCCCGTCAGCAAGCTGACAAGGTAAGGGTGACATCCGCTACACTTACAACAAGCATGGGTTGCTGAGGCCTATTCTAACCCGGATCTTCACGGGTGAGAATTATTGCGACCGTCCGGCGAAACATATGGTGGTTTATTTATCCATATTACTATAAAATTGTTATCATATCATGTGTCGGTGGTAGATATTTAACCAAACATATTTGTCATATGCAGATATTTCTAAACGATACATGGAAGTTCAAGACCTGTTAAGATGCAGAAGGGACGTTGCTGAACACTTTTCAAGCTGTATATTACCAGAGTCCCTGAGGTTTAACATGAATTCATACAATTTATGTAAGCAAGCCGAGCCTTCCCAAATATATGTCTCTGTTGTCGTGTGTAGATAAGTCACAGTGTGAGTTGGGTTGGTTATACGCTGCTGAAGTTCGGTATGAAGATCTCACCGAATCATCCGTTATAGGAATGTCAAGGGACGCGGTTGTCTCCCCATCGTTCATAGTGATTGTACCAGTGGGGCTCCCTCCATAGTCGGCAGTTGTTGCTGACAGAGAACTTATGGTGTAGGTGGCTGTAATGGTGCCGGAAGTTCCTTGTTTACGAGTGAAGGTCAAGGTGAGTGGACTCTCGTTTTCTAATATCAGCGGCACAGGGTCAACACATATGATACCGCCTAAAAAGACGTAAAATGCAAATATACGAAAAAGGCCATTTATGTATTGGAAAGGTTGCAAAGTTCTTGAAATCGTTGTTAAATGGTAGATCTAGTGGTCAAAAAAGTTTTTTTTATCTTACCTTAACAAACTGCTCTTAGTTTCATAGGAATGAGAATGAACTATTTCAATGACATCATTAGTGTGTTCCGAACATAAATTTCAGAGGTGAGGCTAAGTGTGTTTGAAATGGCTGAAATTATAAAATTTTAGTGACATGGTTTTTTAAAATATTGCAATATAAAACGTCGACAGAGATGTTTTCTGATGAGATCTAGATACACACAGTTACAAACATTGGGTGAACAGTCATCTTAGGTCACAAAATGAAACAAAAAATTTCGAACCTGTTAAAAAGAATACCACTTGAAAACATGTTAGTTAACATGCTTCTCTGTACGTGCTCAGCTGTGTCCTGTGTCCAAAACTTTAGTGAATGCAGCGATTCACCTTGGTCTTTCTATGTTGCAGGAGTGAGTGGGTGAGTGTGGTTTTACGCGGCTTTAGCAATATTCCATCAACATCACAGCGGGGACACTGTGCTTCACACATTGTACCCATGTGAGGACTCGAATCCACGGCTTCGGCGAGACGAATGGCCGCTTCGGCGTGACGAATGGCCGCTTCGGCGTGACGAATGGACGCTTGGCCTATCTCCCAAAATTTCAGTAATACATGATGGGGCCAATTAACATTGGTGTACCAGACTGGTGGCATGTGGCATGCTCAACTTGATTTCCAAAATATCTACTGATATCATATCATTGCACATGATAAGTCCATTATAGATAGGCATCAATGTTTGACTGAAGCAGGGGGCACGGGTGGCCCAGTCGTCTAAGGCGCCGCTATTCACTGTGCAAAGTTGCGTCCCTTGGGCACGCCAGAAACCTATGATTGTGGGTTCGAATCCTGGTTCGCCCCAATTATGTTTCTAGGTTTGTCAGCACCATACCCGTGCTCGTGGGTTTCACCGAAGTGGTAAACGTCTGAGACCTGCATCGCTTCCGGCTTTCCTCCCACATTAAGCTGACACGCCGTGATATAACTGGAATACTGTTAAAAGCGGCGTTAAACCCAACTCACACACTCACTCACTTGACTGAAGCAAATTCAACCATTTCTACCCTGAGAGTATTTCTTACGACGATAGAAATGTCAGTTATATGTAGCATGCAACCTGGATCTTTAATAAATTTAATGATTCAAACAGTTAGTCATTTTGCTTTACTTTTTTCTACTTTTATCATTGCACATGATCTTAATCCTTAAGCCTATTATAGATAGGCATCAATGTTTGACCGAAGCAAAATCAACCATTTATACCCCTTAATGCCTTTAGAGTATTTCTTACGACGATAGAAATGTCAGTTATATGTGGCATGCAACCTGGATAAATTGAATGATTCAAACAGTCATTTTCGCGTCCCATATAAAGTATTTGCGTCTGTGTGGGTACAGGCAAACGGTTGCCCATCGGTTAAAACCTGGTTCGGAATTATTCATCATTAAAAATGGCTTGCAAAGATTTCCTCAGACTTGTGTCACACTATTTCCATTACGCTGCGTCAGTTTGGAACTGGCTCTCACCTTAAGTTGGCGCGTGGTGAGTTCGTAGCGTTACGGCAAAGTTTGTCATGGGTTGATGCTCACGTGGTCGACAACAAATTCCCGGTTGGATCACACTGTTCATAAACTTCCGATGACGTCATTCTCTTGTTCTCCAATCAGGTTAGGGGCAGTGGGGTAGCCTCGTGGTTAAATCGTTCCCTCGTCACGCTGAAGACCCGGGTTCGATTCCCCAATGTACAATGTGTGAAGCCCATTTTTGGTGTCCCCCGACGTGACATTGCAGGAATTTTTCAAAAAGCGTCGTAAAAACCATACTCACTCCCAATCAGATTTAATTTTATAGGAGGTGTAAAATCTCTTGGATTTTATATAATATCCCAGATATTGCAATTGAAAACAAGTTACATTAGGAATGTTTTTGCAATGATGTAAAATCAGATGTTTTCTTTATTTTTCCGTGGCTGCCTTCGTATCAGTAACTGAGTGAGTGAAACAAAAGACACATAGAGACTGATGATAAATCTCAGTGATTTTAAAAATCTCTTTTGCTCAAATGCATGTACGCCAGCACGAGATATTTTACGTCCGTTTCCTTAGACTCATGGAAAGTACGTTTGAAACATAAAATTGCATTGATAAATGTTTGTTTTGTTTTTCTGTTTATAACGTATAAGTTATGACACTTCCTCTCAGGCTTTGATAAGAGTTAAAATCCTCGGATTTAGTTTTTCAATCTCATTGAAAAAATGATTGTGTTTTATCCTACACACGCTTCCCGCCTCTCTGGACAGGGGCTTGAAGAGACGTCGCTCACTGAAGTCAAATGGGAAGACACCGGATAATACACTCACTTTGTGCCACAGCTCTGTGTAGGATTAATGACAGCAGCGCAAAGCCCGACAGGAGGGTTGAAACTGACATATCTGAAAATGAAACTGGTTATATCAGTATAAACCACAAATGCATACAGTGCTTTGCGCGCAAACCATCTTTACAAACTCACATTCTAACAACCGCACATTAACAATGACACCCATACTCACAACCTCATTTTCACAATGACACCAATCCTCACAACCTCACATTCATAATGATGCCAATCCACACAACCTAACATTCACAATGACACCCATCCTCACAAGCTCACATTCACAATGACATCCATCCACACAACCTCACATTCACAATGACATCCATCCACACAACCTCAGATTCACAATGACGCCCACCCTTACAACCTCACATTCATAATGACGCCCACCCTCGCAACCGCACATTCACAATGACGCCCATCCTCACAACCTCACATTCACAATGACATCCATCCACACAACCTCACATTCACAATGACATCCATCCACACAACCTCACATTCACAATGACATCCATCCACACAACCTCACATTAACAATGACGCCAATCCTCAAAACCTCACATTCACAATGACGCCCATCCACACAACCTCACATTCACAATGACATCCATCCACACAACCTCATATTCACAATGACATCCATCCACACAACCTCATATTCACAATGACGCCCACCCTCACAACCGCACATTCACAATGACGTCCATCCACACAACCTCACATTAAAAATGACATCCATCCACACAACCTCACATTCACAATGACATCCATCCACACAACCTCACATTAACAATGACGCCAATCCTCACAACCTCACATTCATAATGACGCCCACCCTCACAACCGCACATTCACAATGACATCCATCCACACAACTTCACATTCACAATGACGCCCACCCTCACAACCGCACATTCACAATGACATCCATCCTCACAACCTCACATTCATAATGACGCCCACCCTCACAACCTCACATTCACAATGACGCCCACCCTCACAACCGCACATTCACAATGACGCCCATCCACACAACCACACACTCACAATGACGCCCATCCACACAACCGCACATTCACAATGACATCCATCCCCACAACCTCACATTAACAATGACACCAATCCTCACAACCTCACATTCATAATGACACCAATCCACACAACCTCACATTCACAATGACGCCCATCCTCACAACCGCACATTCACAATGACATCCATCCACACAACCTCACATTCACAATGACACCAATCCTCACAACCTCACATTCATAATGACACCAATCCACACAACCTCACATTCACAATGACGCCCATCCTCACAACCTCACATTCACAATGACATCCACCCTCACAACCTCACATTTACAATGACATCCATCCACACAACCTCACATTAACAATGACACCAATCCTCACAACCTCACATTCATAATGACGCCCATCCACACAACCTAACATTCACAATGACAACCATCCTCACAAGCTCACATTCACAATGACGCCCACCCTTACAAGCCCACATTCACAATGACATCCATCCACACAACCTCACATTCACAATGACATCCATCCACACAACCTCATATTCACAATGACATCCATCCACACAACCTCACATTCACAATGACATCCATCCACACAACCTCACATTCACAATGACATCCATCCACACAACCTCATATTCACAATGACATCCATCCACACAACCTCACATTCACAATGACGCCCATCCACACAACCTCACATTCACAATGACATCCATCCACACAACCGCACATTCACAATGACGCCCATCCACACAACCTACATTCACAATGACGCCCATCCTCACAACCTCACATTCACAATGACGCCCATCCACACAACCACACATTCACAATGACGCCCATCCACTCAACCTCACATTCACAATGACGCCCATCCTCACAACCTCACATTCACAATGACGCCCATCCACACAACCACACATTCACAATGACACCCATCCACTCAACCTCACATTCACAATGACGCCCATCCACACAACCTCACATTCACAATGACATCCATCCACACAACCTCACATTCACAATGACATCCATCCACACAACCTCACAATCACAATGACATCCATCCACACAATCTCACATTCACAATGACGCCCATCCACACAACCTCACATTCACAATGACGCCCATCCACACAATCTCACATTCACAATGACATCCATCCACACAACCGCACATTCACAATGACGCCCATCCACACAACCTACATTCACAATGACGCCCATCCTCACAACCTCACATTCACAATGACGCCCATCCACACAACCTCACATTCACAATGACGCCCATCCACACAACCTCACATTCACAATGACACCCATCCACTCAACCTCACAATCACAATGACATCCATCCACACAATCTCACATTCACAATGACGCCCATCCTCACAACCTCACATTCACAATGACGCCCATCCTCACAACCGCACATTCACAATGACGCCCACCCTCACAACCGCACATTCACAATGACACCCATCCACACAACCTCACATTCACAATGACGCCCATCCACACAATCTCACATTCACAATGACGCCCACCCTCACAACCACACATTCACAATGACACCCATCCACACAACCTCACATTAACAATGACACCAATCCACCCAATCTCACATTCAGAATGAGAACCATCCACACAACCTCACATTCACAATGACGCCCATCCACACAACCTCACATTCACAATGACGCCCATCCTCACAAGCTCACATTCACAATGACATCCATCCACACAACCTCACATTCACAATGACATCCATCCACACAACCTCACATTCACAATGACGCCCACCCTCACAACGCACATTCACAATGACGCCAACCCACACAACCGCACATTCACAATGACATCCATCCACACAACCTCACATTCACAATGACATCCATCCACACAACCTCACATTCACAATGACATCCATCCACACAACCTCACATTCACAATGACGCCCACCCACACAACCTACATTCACAATGACGCCCATCCTCACAAGCTCACATTCACAATGACGCCCATCCACACAACCTCACATTCACAATGACGCCCATCCACACAACCTCACATTCACAATGACGCCCATCCACTCAACCTCACATTCACAATGACATCCATCCACACAACCTCACATTCACAATGACGCCCACCCACACAACCTACATTCACAATGACATCCATCCACACAACCGCACATTCACAATGACGCCCACCCACACAACCTACATTCACAATGACATCCATCCACACAATCTCACATTCACAATGACACCCATCAACACAATCTCAAATTCACAATGAAGCCCATCCACACAATCTCACATTCACAATGACACCCATCCACACAACCTCACATTCACAATGACATCCATCCACACAATCTCACATTCACAATGGCCCCCATCCACACAATCTCAAATTCACAATGAAGCCCATCCACACAATCTCACATTCACAATGAGAACCATCCACACATTCAGAATGACACCCATCAACACAACCTCACATTCAGAATGACACCCATCAACACAACCTCACATTCACAATGACGCCCATCCACACAACTTCACATTCACAATGACGCATATTCTCACAACCTCACATTCACAATGACGCCCATCCTCACAACCTCACATTCACAATGACACCCATCCTCACAACCTCAAATTTACAATATCGCTCTTCCTCTCAAATTCACTTTTAAAAATAAAAAAACAGCGACTATTCAACTTCATATCCATACAACTTCCTTAAGACTTACCCTACATCAATGAAATCTAACATCCATAAAACCTCACAACTTATTATCAGATTTACGACGGCGCACATCGAGTTGCGTCCCTTGGTCATGTAAGGATCCACTTGACGAAGTTCCCAATTCCCGTTTCGCTCCTTAGTCTTTTCAGCCCAGTGTGAGTTTTATTATGCAGCCACGCCGTGATATAAATCCAATTAATTCAACCAAATTAACTAAATATCACTTCATAGATGCTTTGTAAAATGATGAACGTGTAATTCGTTTTTCATTGCCAAATTGTCATTTGACCAATACAAATAAAGAAAGAAACACATTTTTTTCTGATGCTAAACCACTATAGAACTAAAACGTAAATATAATTCTCTTCGAATTGAAATGAATTTCTATGAATAAAGTAAATTCAATCTCAAAGTTTGTGATCGTCTTTAATCTCCTTTTAAATAATGTTTCATTTGTTTCCACGTTAATGCAAAGTCCTTTCAACATATTCAAACTGTACATTACTCTATCAACAATGGGGTTTTTGGTGAGTAAAAATGCATACTTGAGGTGAGGTAAGGTGAAATTGGGTTTAACGTCGCGTCCAAGATTATTGCACTTATATAGCGAGGTGCATGCACGTGTGTGTGTGGCTGCTTTTACTAGTCCGGACTGATGCCGATTTATAGCTAGCTTACTGAGATACCACTCAGACACAGTATACTGACTCCGAGCCGACCAGTCCTTGTTTTAGCCCCTTAATGCCGAGCGCCAGACAGGGTAACAACAAGTACTTTGGATATGACGCGGCCGGGGATCGAACTCCGGACCTTCCGCTCTCCGAGCGGACGCTCTACCACAAGACCACGGAGGCGATCGCATACTTGAGGATGCCTGTGTACAGCACATAGTCAACAGTTATATTCAACATAATTATTCTGCTTTACAGCATATCAAAGTATTTCTGCACCTGCTGGATACCACTTAACCAAAATACATATTCCAAAATGGACCTGACTAGTCTCAGACTAGTATTTGAAAACATTATCAGCAACAAAACGGTTGTTCATGGATATCAACATTGTATCGGTGTGTGGGTAAAATTCAAGTTGTATCATCAAGTCTCTATATGTACCGAACTAACAGATCAATGTGACCCATGCTTAATCATATACTTCTTTTTTTATTTGATATAACCTGTTCGACTTTATATATACCCATTCAAACAAGTTCTAGGAACAAGTATGGGAAAACGAACATATTGTACCATTCTACATTCACGTAGCTGTATTTCTGAAATAAACACACAACTCAATGTTGTAGATAACATATAAACACCGGACATTCCATGCCTCCAAATCTAATATGATTTTGACTGGTCAACATTTTTGGTTGTGTTTGGGAGACTGGTCCTAAAAACAGTTTTTGGTTCAAATTTAGCTAATGTCAAAGTCCGATGTCAGGATAAGGAGAGCATCGCCAAAACGCAACAATGCATATGGTGTCTCTGAATATGCTGCACACAAGGGTATGAATGGTGACACTGCTGAATCAACTCATTGCATTGGTTTCAACTGAGGATAGCCACGAATACACATGTCTGTGCAAAGACAATTAGAACCCTCTCTGCTGGTATCAACTCCTGGCGTCAAGCTGTAACACTACCTCAACTTGCCACGTCACATCTGCATGTCTTGTATGGTGTCGAGCTCATCTTCACTAGAATAGGCAGCAGTGGTCGCAAGTTCTGTTCACGGTTCACGTTTCTGCACACAGACATGATGGTCGTGAGCGAGTGTTTCGCCGCATTGGGGAACGGGTTCACAGTCAGGGAACGGGGCCGGTTTGGGGTTTACTCAGTGGTGGTATGGGGAACCCCACTTCATCATGGCAATGGGATTCTGACAGGTATTCGGATTAGGGACGAGATTCGTCGGCCACGTGTTCTCCCTGCTTTGACTGCCATTGTCCCTGGTGCCACACTCCAGGATGATAATGCGCAGCCTCACATGGCACGTGTGGTTCTGACTTCATCAACCGAAATGGGATCACCAGAATGCAATGGCCTGCCTATTCCCCAGATCTGGCACCGATCGAACGCCTGTCGGGCGTCCTGGGACGACCTGTCGGAGTGCATGCAGGCTGAGTGGCAAGCAGTAACTTTTAGGGCTCTTGTCAGTGAGATAGTGGTGCAGAGACAGTGTCTATTCCAGGGTGACCATACACGATATTGGCACCCTTGCTCTTCTTGTGACACTACTGGTTTTTAAAGGCGATACCTGGGTTACTTTGTGCAGAGATGTGACTACCCGACCTCCATACTTGATCACTATTGGATAAATTCTATAAAATTCTGACGATTGTATTTTGTCTCTTTGTTTCTCATACCAAAAACATGGGTGCTCCCATGTTTGATTTCCTCTGATTTCTATTTTTTTCTTAATTTGCTCCATTCGGGTGTATATTTTGAAAGTTCTACAATTTTTACCTTGCTGTTTTTGGAAATCATATCTAATATTACATTCTATATCCTTAGGGTTATTATCTAACTCTTTGCATGTATTTTGCTTGGGCTTTTTTTATGTACAAAGATGAAACAAAGATATTTAGTCGAAATTATTTTCTTTTTTCCACTTTTTTATTTGGTTTCTATGTTCATATCTCTCCATACATCAACTAATTCATAAGATTCTCTATTCCATTTTCTAAAAGTGGGTTTCTTGCTTTGATGTTGATATTATTGTAGTTTTCAAGATCCAAAAAAGGTTCAAAATTAAACTCCATTTCACGGGCGGCCATAAGAAACTTATTATAGAAAATAGAATTATCAGAGGTTTCTCCATAAATATTCACAAATGTTAATTTATTTCCATCCATATTGATGTTTGTAGGTATATAATTTTCATCTTCATCTATCTCGGTTTTATGTATAAATAAATATATGGTATGAATGAATGGTATCGATTCTCTTCTAGTAGAGTAGCAATATTCCAGCTATATGACGGTAGTCTGTAAATAATCGAGTCTGGACCAGACAAAACAGTGACTAATATCATGAACATCGATCTACCCATTTGGGATACAATGACATGCATCAACCAAATCAGCTAGCTTGACTACCGGATCCCGTCAGTCGCCTCTTACGACAAGCATGGGTTGCTGAAGACCAATTCTAAGACAGATCACCACTGGGAACTCTGAAAATGAGTGTAATGAAACCGATATGTATATCTATATTCTTACCTGCACGGGCCAGTCACCTTGCGGTCAGGCTATCTAGATATGAACAAAGGACAGCCCCGACAGCCCAGCCCACTATATATGAACGATGTTACAGTTGGTTGATTCAGGGCAGAGAGACATCTGAGTCACATATTGATGGTTTTAATGGGACTAATCACCACGTGGGTGAGAGTTATTATCAGTATTAACATTTAATCTTGAAGAAATAAATCGTCCTACTGTCACACTATCGAAAACATTTATTGAAACAGCTGTGAAGATCAAGCAAATATTTTCTGGTTTGATTGTTTCTAAATAAACTGCCGGGCCAAAAGAAATTACACTTTGAACTCGGATTTGACCGAAGAATTACAAACGTTACTTGGCTGAAAACAGTCGGCGGTTGTGGGAATCTCATTGCTATCATGCATGTAATATCGGCTATGATACCCGTATCAAATACACCACCATCGAATAACCATTTCTTGTTTGTTTCATTCTCAGCCGTCATCAAAACAACATGGGTGTATACTTTCTTTTGTCCGGCAGTTTACATGTATAGTGAATTCTAGTCGGTATGTTCCGAGTCAAGTCGCCCGGATTAAAAGGTTTTCGGATTAATGATTCATGCGAACGGAGAATTGTCCATTTGAATCTATTGTTTTGTTTGTTTGTTAATTGTTTACCCCGCACTCAGCAATACCCAGGTTATCAGGCCTGTAAATATTCAAGCCTGGACCAGACAGACCAGTGATTGATATCATGAGCATCGCCCCACTTCGTCGGATCACGATGACACGCAATTAACCACGTCTCCTAGCAATTCTGCGTCCCTTGTCTGAATCCTATGATTATGGGTCCGAATCCGAAATTTGACCTCATCATTATGAACCATGGTTTGTCTGCCATCCCCAACCCCCTTCCCGCGGTGCCCTAGGCACTTTTATTGCATTAAATATAATGTGAAAATATTTTGTTCCACTTTTGAAAAGAACGTTCACACGAATCTGATAATTCGTTCGCTTCTGATGATGGGGATCCTTCTGCACCTCACATCAGTCTCGATATCTTGCTGTGTCTGCTCTGGTGGTGCTCCTCTTAAACTGAATCCGTTGGCCATAGCAAAGACCATTGAAGGTTCAGTCGGAGAAGTAAATGCATTACCAGGCTACGGTCTGATTCTCTACGGTTCGAATGCAGAAAACATATTCAGTCTAAGATTCTCCTTTCATCCAAATCACCAGCTTATGTTACTGTTGAGATTTCTCCTCACAGGACACTGAATGGTATTAAAGCACTGTCCGTGATATCGGACAACGTCTTTCAGACATGACTGAGACTGACATTGTGACAGAGCTGCTCTCCCAAGGAGTTACTATCATCAAACGTTTCACAGCCAAAACAAATACTGAAGTCACCAAACAAACACATATCTATTTACATCTTTCTTGCGTCAAGAATCACTGAAAGCTTACTGTTGCAACTTAAAGGTGGATACTACCCGTGAAGATTCCGGGGTAGAATAGGTCTTCAGCAACCCATACTTGCCGTAAAAAGCGACTATGCTTGTCGTAAAAGGCGACTAACGGGATCGGGTGGTCAGGCTCGCTGACTTGGTTGATACGTGTCATCGATCCCAATTGCGTGGATCAATGTTCATGATGTCAATCACTGGATTGTCTGGTCCAGACTCGATTATTTTACAGACCGCCGTCATATAGCTGGAATATTGCTGTGTGCGGCGTTAAACAACAAACAAACAAAACAAACAAACAAATTAAAGGTGGATACATTTATCCCTAATCCCTTGAAATACTACACTTGCAGAACGTATGGCTGAAAGTCATGCCATAATCCAGGTACATGTCATCGATGTGCTTGAACAAGACTGTAATCTCTGTGACAAACCTCCTGCCTGTGTCAACTGCTCTGGCAACCATTCCTCTTCTTCCAAAGAATGTTTTACTTGATACTGCAATCCAAAATTCGCGAGTATATGAACGTAACATCTCTTTTTTGAAGCAAAGAAGGTTATTCCTGCCAGGAACAGCCGGGTCCATCTTATTCTAATGTTTTTTCTGCTGCTGTGCAGGTATCCAAGCCTGAACATATTTCATGTTATTTTATTGGTTGCCAGACCGACTGGGATTTGACCTCTCTTCCTCCCCTTGTATCTGCTGCAGTCCAGGTTGGGACCCTACAAGAGACCTCTAGGTCACAAATCATCTCTACATCATAAACAATCATTCAAACACAGACATCTTGTGATATGAATCCATCCTTATCTCCTATCCGTGAAGATCCGGGTTAGAATTGGTCTTCAGCATCCCATACTTGTTTAAAGAGGCGACTATGCTGACGGAATCGGGTGGTCGGACTTGCCAATTGTGTAGATCGATGCCCATGATGTCAATCGCTTGATTGTCTGATCCAGACTCGATTAGTTACACACCGCCGTCATATAGCTGGAATATTGCTGAGTGTGACATTAAACAACAAACATTATCATCTCAGGAACAATCATCAACTAAATCAGCTGAACAATCTAAATCAGAAAAAAATGTGAAACTCAAACCAAGAGAATCATCCAAAACGTGTCAATGTAGAGCCTCAAAAGCGACAGGTATCCAGATCAAAATGTTTAATACGTTTGCATCCCTTGAGGACATGGATGCATATGTCCGACAACAGCCATCATAGGGCACATAGCTTGTCACCCTCAAGGGAGGTGATTTGTAAATCTCCCGTCAACTCCTCCGAAGAGATAGCTTCTTCACATATAGTACAATGGAATTGCAGAGGACTGAAGACTTCTTTTAAGGAATTACAGCAGGCTAATCTTCAAGCTCATGACGATCAACTCCACACACCCTATGAATGATTTAAATGGCCACAACCCATTCTTTGGTGAACAAGCACTAATACGAAGGCTGAAATAATTGAGGATTTCACAATGACCTGTGTACATTTAAGGATGAATCAAGCAATTATCTGCACCCTGCAACTAGCATCTACTCCTCCTCAGATTTGTATCTTACGTACTTTAACCTACTCAACGAATCATAATGGTCGGTCCACAATGACCTTTGTCGAAGTTACCATTTCCCAACTATCCTTTCAGCAGTAAATCCATCTGATACCATCGCCTTCAACAAGATGGAATTTTACAAGGGCAAACTGGTCGTTGTTTTAAACTCTATGCACAGCTAAACTAACACCGTATGTTTCAGTAATGTTGCTGATCCTATTCAGGTTTTTCTAACGTTTTAAATGAAATTGCCGATGGTTGTATACCCATGTCCTTTACAAATCGACATTTTTCAGAAATTTAGAGAACAAGAAGAAGAAACGAAACTTCATTTTAATGCGGATAATTGTGAGGATTATAATTAAATATTTCATTTATTGAGTTGCATACCGTCCTTGGGTTGGCTCATCATACTACTAAAGGTGCTGATAATATTCATTATCAGTTACTAAAACTTTACCTGATTCATGCATAGAAACACTGCTAAATATATTTGATCATATCTGGACAACAGGAAGTTTGTCTTGGCGAAATGTTGTTATCATTCACCAAAATCTGGCCGGGATCAAGATCTTCATGAGATGGGATTGAGAGGTTGTTTACTCTTAAATTTAATATCATTTTTTAACAGATAGAAATGTCAAGGTACTTGTGGTGTCCACCTTGTCTGATTTTTACTATCAAGGTCAGGTTGTCCCACAAGGTAACATATTATAAGCTAAGTTGTTTAGTATAAAATTAATAATCAATTTAAGGTGTAAAATTACTCTTTCCATAGGTCATTATTTGTTGATGTATAATGTCGAGGTATAAATATGTACACGACGTAGAGATAGTTGCAGCTTTGTCCAAAAAATCAATGACAGGTCACAGCGTAATTTTTCTAAATAAAAAAATAATTGTATCCATTTTCTATCGAAAATATAAACCACATAGTGACCCAGAATAACATCTACTGAGCAGTCCAATTAAAGTTGTAAATGAAGCAAAATTCTATGGGGGGGTATTTTCATCACCATCTTACCTTTCTACCGCATATCAAATATCTGAATGCTAAATGTCTGAAGCTTAAGGCACTGAATGTATTACAAGTTGTTTCTGATCCCACGTAGAATAGGTCTTCAGCAACCCATGCTTGCCGTGAAGATCCGGGGTAGAATAGGTCTTCAGCAACCCATACTTGCCGTAAAAGGTGACTATGCTTGTCGGAAAAGGCGACTAACGGGATCGGGTGGTCAGGCTCGCTGACTTGGTTGATGCATGTCATCGAGCTCAATTGCGTGGATCGATGCTCATGATATCAATCCCTGGATTGTCTGGTCTAGACTCGATTATTTACAGACCGCCGTCATATAGCTGGAATATTGCTTAGTGCGGCGTTAAACAACAAACCAAACTAAACCTTCCTTCACTTGCATAGATCCCTTATCCAACTGTGGCTCCATCATTTACGGTAGAGCCTACAAAAGAAACCTTGAACTGCCAGATTCTGTCCACTATCAAGGTCTAAGAGTTTGTCTTGGATCTTTCAGAACATCTCCTATTGACAGTCCTATTGTGTTCTGAGGCTGACGAGCCATCTTTTAAACATCGTATAAAAATATCTTTACAATACATCACAAAAATCCAACCCTGTATGCAGTTGTGTGTTTAATCCCCTTTATGGGCATCTTTGCAATAATAAATCATCTCTTATTCCAGCTCTAGGAATATGATTAAACCTTTCGTTTCTGCTGCTAATATTGAACTTATCTCCTTTGTGCCTGCTTTCTTTTACTTCTTGGCAAATGGTAAAGCCACAGAGGGACCTTTACTTATTTAAACAAGAAAATATGAAACAATAAACTACAATATCAACAAGAATATAATCAGTTAAGAAGCACAAACCACATACCAAAGTTAATCAATATTTGCAGATGGATCCAAGGATGGTGATGCTGTTGCCACCGCCACTTCAGTTGGATCCAGAACTTCACTAACTAGACACCGGATGACTTGTATTTTACAGCAGGACCAAAGGCCATTTTAACAGCTAAAGAATATATGAAACAG